TATGGCACTTTCTCAAAAAGTTGCCAAAAGAAATATCATTTGATCCAGAAATTGAACTGCTGGGAATTTACCCTAAAGAAACCATAACTGCCACCCAGGCAGATATACGCACACCCATGTTTATTGTGGCTGTGTTGCAACAGCAAAGAGCTGGAAACAACCCCAAGTTCCCATTATCAAACAAATGGATAGAGAAGCTCTGGTATATTCACACAACGGAATACTAGGCAGCACTGAAAAACAAAGAACATGAAATATTATAAAAAATGGATGACCTTGGAGGACATTTTCTGAGTGGAATATCTCAGTCACAAAAGGCCAAATATTGCATATGGCCACTATTGTAAAATGAGACTGACATCAGGGTTGAGAGAAGACAGAAAAGGAAGGGAAGAATGATGTATATTGCATTGAAACAGATGAGGGAGAGAACTGTTTAAAAGGGACATATGAATGGGTATTGTCATTACTGAAGTCCAGAGTGAAGGCTGCATAGGGAGTGGTCTTGAGGGGAGGAACTGCATAACAATGAAAGAGTTTTTCTTTTTCTTTTTAAGGAGAAGTGTGAATTGCAGGGGAGAGGGTGGGCAGGGAGAAAAGTGAAGCAGTGAATGACTGGAAACCCTAAGTCCCTGTAAACTTTCATGTAAATTAATAAAAAAATGTTAAAAAAATAATGAAACATCCTAAGTACCCATCAACAAAGGAATGGATAGAGAAGCTGTGGTATATTCATACAATGGAATACTACACTGTATTGAAAAACAAAGGAACTCTTGAAATATTATTCAAAATGGGTGACTCTGGAGGACATTACGCTGAGTGAAGTATCTCAGTCACACAGGGACACATACCGCATAGTGCCACTGTTGTAAAACAGGACTGACACCGAGGTTGGAGGAGACTGAGTAAGATAGGATAAATAATGTATACTTCATTGATGCAGAAAACTGTTTAAAAGGATTTGTGATTAGGTATTATTGTCATGATAGGAGTCCAGAACGAAGGCTGCATAATGGAGTAGACCTGGGGTGAGAGGGATTATAAAATAATGAAAGAATTTTTCTTTTACTTTTCAAAGAGAAGAGTGTTCTGAAATTGAGGGGACCGGGAGGCTGGGCAGGGTGAAAGTGCACAATGAATGAATGGAAATCCAAAGTCTTTAAACTTCCATGAAAATTAATAATAATAAATTTAAAAAATAATGAATGCCAACATTAACAGATCTAAATCTGCCCAAATATATTGGAGCATTATTTGCAATAGTAAAGAGATAGAAACAATTCTACTGTCTAAAAAATATATATGAATGAATAAAGAAACTGTTGCAGACACATACTAAATATTTAAAAATTTTAAAAAAATATGACATTGGTGAAGCTAGAGACCATGTTGAGTGAAATACATATTTTAATATAGTTTACATACAGGAAATCATTCTTGGATAGAATTATTCTATTTAAAGTTAGAAAATGTGTAAGAGAGAAGTAAAATTAATAAATAGGTAATAGATTCATATCAAGGGTAAAAGGAAACACATAGTAATGAAATGACCAGCACTACACCATTAAATAATGACAAGGCACAAAAAGGAGCACAAGAAATTTGGTTAATAAAGGTAAACACTATTATCACACAATCCCACTTTGTCAGTAAATACTTTTTGCCATTGATTTAGAACCGACTCATTGTTGACCCTCTAATGGGTTTCTGAATTAGTAAATAATATAGAATGAGATTTTCCATCTTTCTCCCACGGTGCTGTTAATTGATCCGAACCATTGGATGTGTGAGACCTTTGAGTGAGCATAAACCTACCCACTAGGTCAACAGAACTCCATATATCAACTATAATAAACATTAATCTACAAGTGGATATATAGACAGATAGGCAAGATGGAAATATATGAAAAGACTTAAAGGAATAGCTCTATGACCAAAGATAGTTTGGCAGAAAGTAAATCTGATATTAGTATATACTATAAATATAATAGAGTTAATAGAATGAGAAGCTACATAAACTTAATCATAACCAAATAACCTGAGGTATTAACTTGTTTGTTTTGGGGTCTTTGAACCATAGTCTTAGGGACCTCGATTCCAATCCTGTAATGTAGTCCACAAAGACAATGCTCTGAGCTTATTCTCATGAGCAGCAACTACAGTATATAATGCCTTCACACTGCTATCTAAGTTCCAACTACTGATTTCCTTTCCCATTACAATGACTAGTAGTAAGGAGCTGCGCTGTAAACCCAAAGGCACACATTCAAATTGACAGCTACTCCATGGGAGAAAGATGAGCAATCTGATCCCATGTGATTCACTGCCTCTAAAAACCCACTGAAGGGTTATCTATGGATTGAATCTAATGTGAGGGTACATAACAACAACACTACAAGAAAGAAAAGGAAGAGAAAACCTATAGAAACAACCATGCAAACCTTAACAGAACTAGATGGTTTCTAACCACCTTTGATGACCTTCCTAAGTGGAATCACAGTAGAAGAACCTTAATAACATCATTGTTGTTTTTATGTACTGTCAAGTCACCTGTGACTCAGAGTAACCCTTTGTACAAGAGCTCTGAAGCCTGCTCTGCCCTGATTCAATCTCACTGACATAGATATACCTTCCCTCATTTCTCTAGTTACTGTATCAATCCATTTCACTTGAAGTTTTCCTCTCCTGCGTTGTCCCTCCACTCTTCTGAGCATGATATCCTTCTCCAAGGATCAGTCCCTCCTGGCCACATGCCCAAAGCATGTGAGACAGACTTTCAAAATCCTAGCCTCTAAAGAGAAACTTGATTTCACTCTCTCTAAGACAGACTTATTTGTTTTCTTGGCAGTCCATTGTATGTCCAAGACTCTTCTCCAGCACCACATTTTAAAGGTATCAATTCTTCTGTCATCCTTAGTCATCGTCCAGCTCTCTGATGCATAGCAAGTAATTGCAAAGCTCATTGCCTGGTTCAAAATCAAGAGTGTCCACCAGGGATGTGTCCTGTGTCCATACCCTTTCAATCTGTATACCGAACAGATCATCTGTGATGCTGGGCAGTACGAGGAGGAATGTGGCATCAGGATTGGTGGAAGATTCATCAACTACCTGCATTATGCAGATGACACAACTTTTTTTGTTGAAACCGAGGAGGTCCCGAAGCACATGCTGCAGAAGGTCAAGGACTACAGCCTTCAATATGGATTAGAGTTCAACATCAAGATAACAAAGATTCTCACCACTGGGCCAATTGCCAACATCATTATGGATGGTGAAGAGATTGAGATAGTTATGTTTAGCACTAATACCACACACAAGCAAATAATTGTACAATAATTTCCACACTTTGTTGGGTAAACATTTTTTGAAATGAGAATAAATATGAATCTCTTCCAGTCAGTTGTCTGAATAGTTGTCCTCTAGATTTTTTGGCACAACCTGATAAGCATGTCCAGGGCAGAATATGTTCATTGGAATATGTCAATCAGGGGGAAATATGGAACAAACTTAAAAATATATTACTCAAACAGGACTTCTAGATCTTCTAGACTATGACTATTAATTACTCTTCAAATCCAGAGCAAACTTCCTTCGAAACATCTTTTTACTTAGTTCATCTTTCAGCAAAACAACAAATAAGCTTATATGATGAACAATAACATCAGGAAGGTACTAACTCTTTATAATAACTAACTCTAAAAAAGCAAAAAAGCATGTTTTGTTCAAAAAGGCCAAAAAAGCATATTTTGTTCAATGATAGATAAAGCTCAGAAAGTGAGGAAGGGGCAGGATATAAATTAAAATTATAGAGAAGAAGTGAGAAGAGTGAGGTTACATTGTGAGTATTGTGGTTAATGTCAGAAAAGAAAATATTTATAAATGGTAGAATTGAAAACCAATTTGTTTTGTAAAGTTTTAGTCAAAATACAATAAAATATAGAAAGATAATAAAAAATTATAACCAATTTGAACACTATAATGAATTTTAAAGATTTTCATGAAGTAGTGTGCTTAAAAAATGTATAAAAATCTGTTACCATTGCAAGAACATGGAAACAGACCAAATGTCCAACCATAAATGAATGGATTGAGAAATGATGGTACATTCACACAACAGAATACTATGCAGCACATAGGAGCAATGCTTTTGTAAATTACTACCTAACTTGAGAGGGACTGGAGAGCATTATTCTGAGAGAATTAACTCAGTCCCACAAGGTTAAAAATTGTATAAAACCGTTATCGTAGAAAGAGTATAAGGATTGAGGAGGGGTGGAAGAGGTTGAAAGTAGAGAGATAAGAATGTGCAGGGGGAGGGGAGATTAATCATGGTGTTGTACAATTTGATTTGTGGGGGATGAGAGAAATTGAAAGAATCTGTTCTTTTTAACAATGCATTTTAATTTTGTAAATAAACTAGTATAGAATTAAAAAAAAAAAGAATATGTGTTGCAACCTAAAGCCACATGCTTCAAATACAAGAGTTTTCTATGGGGGGAAAAATGGGCAATCCCCTCCCATGGAGGTACTGCCTCTGAAAACCTGAAGGAGGATGAGCTGTGAGTCAGTTCTGACTTCGTGGCACACAAAAACAATTATGCATAGAAGTCAACATAGTACTCAAATTGAGTGAATTAATAGTAAGAAATACATTTATATCAGATAATAAGAGCCAAGGAAGTAACTTATAGTGGAGTGAAACGTATTTGCTCTCAAAAGTAAATTAAAAAAGCAGAATAGGGCAACTATGATAGATTATTACAATTTGAAATGTTCTAGGACATGATTCTCATCTTTGTTATGTGCCACTGAGTCTGAAATGAGTCATATTTGACCCTCCAGCAGGTTTTCAAACATTATAAATCACATGGAAGAGATTGTCCAACATTCTCCCAGAGAACAGCCAGTGCAATTGAACCATGTGCCTTTGGATTGGCAATACAAATGCAGCAGTACTCCTAGATTCTCAGCGGTAGTTGATATTCTCTTAAAAAAACCTAATATTTCAGTGAAGCAAACACTTTCTTAATTCCTGTCTGAATCTCCTTGTTTCTTAAACTATACACAATTGGATTTAATGTGGGGGTAACAACAGTATAGAGAACAGCTACCACTTTGTCCTTCTCAGATGTGTAGCTAGAAGTAGGTCGGATATAGGTATAAATTATAGGGGAATAGTAAAGGAAAACCAATATGAGGTGGGATGAACATGTAGAAAAGGCTTTCTTCTTGCCTTCTGTGGTACGGATTCGTAGAATAGCAGCAACGATAAAACCATAGGAGATGCAGGTGAAAGTCAAGTCACCCATGGCCAAGATAATGTCAGCAGCATATGCCAACACCTCGTTGACTCTCACAGGGCTACAGGACAAAGCAAGCAGTGGAGAAAGTTCACAGAAGAAGTGATCAATGATATTGGGACCACAGAAGTTGAGTTTCAGAAGAAAAGCAGTATGGACTGATGAATTAGTTAATGCAACAGACATTACAATGCTGAGCAAGGTCACACACATACGATGATTCATAATATTACTATACTGAAGAGGGAAGCAGATGGCCACATAGCGGTCATAGGCCATAGTGGTAAAAAGAACCATCTCAGCCCCAAGAGACCATGCGAAGAAGAAGAACTGGGACAAGCAGCCTTTAAATGAGATAGTCTTCTCTGATATGAACATGGTCCACAGCATCTTGGGTATAATGCTTGTTGTACAGATGATGTCCACAACAGCCAGTGCCAGAAGGAGAACATACATGGGGGTATGTAAAGTTGTATTATGAATTATGGTGATGACAATTAGCATATTGCCAAGAAAAGCCGCAAGGTAGATGCAGAGAAAGACAACAAAGAAAAGTCCCTGGATCTTGGGATTTCTGGTGAGGCCTACAATTATGAACTCAGTCACAGTGCTGTGGTTCATCCTGCTTTGATGATTAAATGGCTGGTATTGTACAAAGTGAATGGCTTGGAATATAAGGGACAGGCATATTGTTATTGGTACATCTTGGTAAAGTGTGTGTGTGTGTCTATGTGTGAATTTAATAATTTCACACAAGTTTCTTGCAGGAATTTCTTTCCAATGATGTTCTCTCTTGTAGTCAGTATTTTCTACTTTTCAGACAGTCAACAATTTTTCTGACTTGTGTTTATCCATTGATGATTCAAATAAAGTAAAGCTATTGATTAAGAAGAAAAAGATTTTTAAAAATCTTTAAATATTTCAATATCATTCTGAATAAACATTTATCCGTGTAATTTATAGCCTCATATACATACACTCTATGAAAATATAATAGAAATACACCTCTCATTAACTTGATTAATGATATCATATAATTAGATATCTTTCATTAAACGTATATTAGTAGGAATAGGTAGAACAACAGGGTTAGTTTTATTGAAATATTTCAGAATAAAAAGATGCAGCACAACTGTATGATACTATTAATGGAACCATTGAGAATACCAATAATTACAGTATGAATGCTAAACAAATCATATGTTTGTGTTGCTATTATTTTCTTTCAGTTTGATGAGTAATGAAATTGAGCTAATTAATAATTTACTACATTATCATAATGGTAAAATTACTAGTTTAAAAAAACAACAACTGAGTATGTGGATTTCCCTTCTTTTTGCTGTACTTTTACACTAAACATTTCAACTCACTAATTTGCATGTTTTTCCAATGCAACACATTTTTGATTTCTTGACTACAATTACCCTGGGGTGTCTATTGAGGATCCAAATAAAATTAAACCATTGACAACTTCACTCTTTTCATTATCTATCATGTTCTTGCCTATTTATCCAAAGATTAAGATGCTTGTTCTCTTGATGTTGAGATGTAATCCAATTTGAATGCTGTGGTTATTTATCTTCTGCAACAAGTGTCTTCCTCACTTTCAGCGGGCCTGTTTGTGTCTTCTACATAGCACAAGGTGTTAATGATGCTGCTTCTAAGCCTGTAGCCACATTCTTCATCATTGATTTCAGCTTTTCAAATTATTTGCTTATCACATAGATTGACTAGGTATGGTGAAAGGGTATAACTTTGATGTAGGTCTTTCCTGATTATAGACCATGCAGTGTTCCCTTGTTCTTTGTTCAGACAAATGCATCTTGGTCTACACATGGGTTTCACATAAGGACACTTCCACACTAAGCATTCTGTGATTTTCAATTTTTCAGTGTTATCCATATTGTGTCATGACTCACACAGTCAAATACCACTGCATTGTGAATAAAACACAAGTAAACATCTTTCTGTTTTTCTCTGCTTTCAGTCAAGATCCATCTGACATTACTCATTGTCAACTTACATCTGAACAAAACTCCATCAGCTTTCAGAGGCTATAAATTGTAAAGGAGGTGATTGTTCATTTTTCACTAGAGGATTTAGGGTTCCAATTTTGTATAGACAGGGTTAATTTTTTTTTTTAAGGATAACCAAGGAAAAGAGCTAGAAACAGTTTTCTATAAAACACACAATGAACGGAAAGAAAATGATTGTCCTCTTTTGTTGATAGGTGCTGTCCAGTTCAGTACAAGTCATGGAAAACCTATGAACAACAGATCTGAACCTTGTCCTGTCCTGTGCCATCCTCATTATTTCAGATCTACTCAAGCCCATTGCAGCAGTAACTGTGTCAACCAATCTGGTTGAGGGTCAACCTCCCTTTTTGTGACTTTCCATTTCCAAGCTTCATGTCCCTCTCCAAGGAATAGACTCTTTTAACATTCAAACTGTTCCCAAAGTATGTGAGAAACTTTATCACAAATGCCTCCTACAAACACTCTGGCTGCACTTTTGCTGTTTTATTCCTCCCCAAAACTTCTGTAGCTTTTCTGCTGTTACTGGTGGGTGTTTGTTTTTCTGACCCTCACTCCCACTCCTTTTCTCTGCAGATTCTATTTTTTTCCTTGTAGAAATTGAATTTATTAAGTATTATAAACAAAATATGAAAACAATGGATGTAAAATTCAACATAAAGTGGCATACATTTTGGAAAATCAAATGGCTTCCTCACAGACCTAAGATTTCTAGGCACACAGAGGGTGCTTGCTTAGGGGGTTCAATACACAAGGCTAATAGCCTGGTAAAGAGCTTATCTTACTACATTCCATTACTTTCTAACTAACAGTATAAAAGATAGTGAACAGGTGAAGAATAAGCACTGAATGAATCAATTTACCAAATGAATATTCTTCATTGAATTTTCATTTGTTCATTAAAAGAACTAACCAGGAAGGCCAAACCAGCTATCAGTACAACTGTAGTCACCTTGAGAAGATGAGAGGAACTTACAAAGAATGCAAATATACACATTTTTTAAAGTGCTGATAAAGTATATGTCAGAAGAAACTCTGAAGATTGCAGTGGAACTCAGAGAAACCAACGCACAAGGAAGAATTCAAGATATTAAAGAGTTGAATAGAAGATTCCAAAAGGTAGCATAGGATGACAAAGCAAAATACTACAATGAAATGTGTAAGGAGCTGGAGTCAGAAAGTCAAAATGGCCGAATTCACTCAGCATTTCTTAAGCTCAAGGAACTGAAGAACAAATTCAAACCTGGAGTTGCTGTAATCAAGGATTCTTTAGGCAGAATATTAAATGATCCAGGAAGTATTAAAAGAAGATGGAAAGATTATACTGAACCACTGTATCGAAAGGAATTGGCAGACACAGAAGAATTTAATGAAATAACATATGAGCAAGAGCCTATGGTGATGAAGGAAGTTCAAGCTGCTGTGAAGGAAATGACAAAAAATAAAGCCCCAGGAAAAGATGGTATTCCAATTAACATATTTCAGATAACAGATGCTGCCCTGGATGTGCTCACCAAGTTGTGCCAAGAAATCTGGAGAACAACCACTTGGCCAACTGACTGGAAGGGTGACCCAACAAAGTATGGAAATTATAGAACAGTATCATTGATTTCACATGCAAACAAGATTCTACTGAAGATTATCCAAAACAACTGGAACAGCACATCCGCAGAGAACTTCCAGAAGTCCAGATTGGGTTTAGAAGGGTTTGTGGTACTAGGGATAGTGTAGCTGATGTTAGATCGATCTTAGCTGAAAGCAGGGAATACCAGAAGAATGTCTATCTGTGTTTCATTGAATATGCAAAGGCGTTTGACTGTGTGGACCATAACATACTGTGGCTGACTCTGAGAAGAATGGGAATCCCAGAACACACGATCATGCTAATGTGAAACTTATACTTGGACCAAGAGGCAGTAGTCAGAACAGAGCAGGAAAACACTGCATGGTTCAAAATTGGGAAGGGTGTATGCCAGGGATGTGTCCTATCTCCATACCTTTTCAACCTGTATTCAGAACAGATTATCCAAGAGGCTGGGCTCTATGTCCAGGTGGTATCAGGATTGGTGGAAGATCTATCAACAATCTGTGTTCTGCAGATGACACAACCCTGCTTGCTGAAACTGAGGAGGACCTCTTGCACTTGCTGCGAAGGGTCAAGGACTGCAGCCTTCAGTATGGACTGAGGCTCAATGTCAAGGAGACAAAGATTCTCACCACTGGACCAATTGGCAGCATCAGGATGGGTGGTGAAGAGATTGAGATTGTTAACAACTTTAGTTTGCTTGGCTCCACGGTCAACACTCTTGGCACCAGTAGCCAGGAAATAAAAAAAAACATATCGCGACGGGAAAGTCTGCTGTTAGGGACCTCTCCAAAGTACTGAAGAGCAATGGTGTCTCTCTGGAGACTAAGGTGCATCTGATACAAGCTATGGTCTTTGCAATCACTTGTTATGCATCAGAGTGTTGGATAATGACTAGGAAGGGTAGAAGGAGAATTGATGCCTTTGAGCTGTGGTGCTGGCGAAGAGTATTGAATGTACCCTGGACTGCCAAGAAAACAGATTCTTCCTGGAGAGGGTTAAACCAGGCTGCTCCTTGGAAGCAAGGATTCTGGCGCTTCGTCTGGCATACTTTGGACATGTTGTAAGGAGGGACAGGTCCTTGGAGAGACACATCATGCTTGGGAGGATGGAGGTACAGCACAAGAGGGGAAGACCCTCTGTGAGGTGGATTGATTCAGTGACTGGGGTAATCAGGATGGGAGTGCCAGAGGCAGTGTAATTGGCACAGGATAGAGCAGGGTTTAGGGCTGTTGTACATAGGGTCACTATGAGTCGCAAGCGACTCGACGACACATAACAACGACAGCAACAACAAAGTTATTTACATATATTCATTACTGTCAAATTATTATAATTGGTAAATTCTAATACAATTTTTCAAAATATTAATGAGATTATTTTTAAATTCTCCTATTTTCTTATAGATCATAATGTATCTCTTATAATTAAAGAGAAGTATAAGTTAAAGTAATTTTGTATGTGGGTCCACATTCCCATAAATTCTGAGACTGAGTAAATTTAAAGTGTTTGATTGATTGTCAATATGTAGTCCAAGTTGTTGATTTTCATTTTCCCATAATACATTAATATTATATACACTTTAGTCAAAACCAGCTCAAAGCTGACTCTGTAGTCGGTTTCCAGAGACATTAAATCATACAGAGGATGCCTGTCTCTCTCCCATGGAGAAACCACTGGATTCAAACCATCTGCCTTTAGGTTGGCAGTACAACTCATTACCACCAAACCTGGAGAGCACATAGTATTGTAGGAACTGCTATTATTTGGATGTACAATATGTGATACTTAAATATATGATATGTAATAGATTCTGTGTATATGTTATTTAACTAGAACCTAAAGTATAACTGTGTTTGTGATAAAAAAACGAGTGTACATGAAATTGGACAGGACAAATGCAAATATTTACACAAATTATTACAACATTGTGTAACACATTAATTATCTGAGAAATTTTACTTTGAATAATAATATATTATGAATTATGAATTATACATATA